CCCCTTGTCCTGGGGTTCCTGGGGCAGCGCCCTGAGCACCACAGATTCCAGTCCCACTCCTTCACAGACAAGGAAGAAGTTGAAGTTCAGAGAGGCAAAGGGCTTTGCTCCAGGTCACCCAGCCATTTGGTTGAACTACTGGGGTCACTACCAGTGCTTCTGAAACCACCAGGAAGTCCTCCCAAACGCTGTAGTATAGGTGCCTACCTGACTCCAGGAGCCAGGCCTGGACTTGTGCTTGGAACAGCTTCGAATTCACTGTGAGAGACCCAGTGGAGCCTGCTGCCCTGGTCACTTTTGGCCGTGACGCATGTGCTGAGAGAGAAGGCTGGGTTTAACTCTTGCCACCCAGTCCCTCAAATACCTTAGAGCCCAGGCCCAGCAGCCTCTCACCCCCTCCCTCACAGCTGCAGCTGCATTAAGTGGGAAAGAAACACAGGAACACCTGGGCCCCCCTCCACTACGTCCCTCTTGAAGCGGCCCCCAGGTCCCTACGGAAGCCAGAGGGAGAAGGGAATGGGTGGGGAGGCATTCCATCTGAAAAATCCCGGCTGCTCTGAGATTCAAGGGGCCACCCCTCAGCTCCAAAAGGGGCCTTCTCTCTCCTCTGGGAAATCAGAGGTTAGGACCCTCGCACCCTGGGCCTGGCCTAGCACCTCCCCCTCCTGCCTGTCCTGCTGGGGAGTCAGGGGCCCCAGAGGGCTGCAGCAGAGACAGAAATAGTCTCAACTTTCCAGGGAGGCAGGATCTTTTTCAGTCTCCAGGCTGTTCCGGCCTCCTCACAGCCACCACTGATCCATGGAGCCCCGTAGGGCAACTGAAGAACCAGGGTCATCCCCTTGGATGAGGGGAAGTCAGTCTGCCCAAGGCAGGGGGGAAGGGCAGTCTCTGGGGATTAAAGGAAGGGAAGAAGGAAGAGATTGGGGGAAGGGAGCTAGGATGTGAAATAGAAGCAAGATGGAGAGGGGGCTCTCCTGAAATCACTTCTAATCAATAGATGGCCACAAGGCTAAACCAAGGGCAGCAGCCTTTGGCCCAGGGCCAGCGCAGGGTGTGAGATCAGAACCCACAAAGTAGGGAGTGTGTGTGCTGCTCCTTCCAGCTCCTTCCAGCTCCTTCCAGCACTGGCCTTCTGACAACAGCCTTCCCCAGCCGGATGAAAGAAGGATGGATGTGGAGCAGGAAGAATCCAGAAGCTAATTTTAGCCTCGTGTGCCCTGTCTACCCTGCTGACAGTGAGCAGAGCCTGGGAGATGGGAGTTTGGCACCCCCTGCCTGGGACCTTGTTAATATGGGGGATCAGTAGGGAAGGACTACCTACCCAGAGCTACCTAGGGGTCAAGGCTCAGAGACCCCAGGGCTGGCATTGGGAAAAGCTGCATTGAACTGCAGAGGAGGCAGAGGCTGGGTGGATTTCCGTCTCGATTCTAGATGACCTTAGGCAAGTCCACCCTCTGCCTCAGTTTCCTCGCCTAGAAACAGAAATATTAATTGCACCAAGTTCACATGATGCATATCAGACACTGTGCTTTTACAGCTCAGTGCTTCCCTTACTCCTCTTGAATGGCCCATCTCAGAGACCCCTCCAATGGAGTGCTCACTTCAAGCTTGGTGCCCAGTTCTATTCTGAGGCACAAAGAAAAGAAAAACTTCCATAAGCCATAAGCATGGCCCTGGCAGAAATTGACTAACTGCAGGAACCACTGTCTGAACCTTGCAGGGAGCTGGAACAAACTAGAAGGGAAGAGAAGAGCCAAGCTGGGGAATCCTGAGGACCACAGGGGTCTCCTCTGTGGCAGGCAAGGATCAAGCTTAGCCCAGGGACAAACAGCTGTGGCAGAGGTGGGACATGACCCTTGGGCTTCTGTATTTTCATGGGCATGGAAGCCCCAGCCCATCCCTGCCATCCACAGTGACCAGGACCTGTGAGCAGAATGCTCAGCCTCACCAGGGTAGTGGAAGGACACCTAGTAGCAACTCCAGTCAGCACATACTTGCTGAAGCCAGCAGCAATCCCATTTTTCAAGCTTCCCATTCCCTTCCTGACACAGGGGGGTGGGGGGGAGAGGGGGAGAAGGGAGAGAGAGGGAGGGAGAGAAAGGAAGGGGGAGGGGGGAAGAGAAGGAGGGGGCAGGGAGGGAGGGAAGGAGAGGATCTCAAAGAGGACAGGAATACAGGCTGCATTAGCCCATACGTCTCCCTCCACCCAGAGTCTCTGCAGTTGGGCACCTTCCTTCCAGGACCTTTTCTAAGCAGGTAGTCAGTGGGGTCCCTCACCACAATGCTCCAAAGAAGACTTTTCAACAGCCTCAACTTCCCAACAGCAGCCTGAAGTAGGGGCCGGCTCTGAAAGCTCCCTCCAGGGTCCAACCTACCAACAATGATCCAAATTGTCCCAGAGTAAGGTGACTGAAGGGGTATCTTTTCCCCACTTCTTCTGTGGTAGGGCCACCCTGAACTTAGGGATATCGCAAGAAAAGAGTCTCCAGAAGGTTGCTGTGCTCCACCAAGGCACTTTGCCTCTACCTGGAGGCAAGATGAAAAAGGGGCTCTCCTGAAATCAATTCTAATCTATAGATGGCCACAAGGCTAAGCCAAGGGCAGCAGCCTTTGGCCCAGGGCCAGCACAGGGTGTTAGATCAGAACCCACAACGCAGGGAGAGTGCACGCTGACACCAGGCTCCTTCCAGCACTGGCCCCTAAACTCACCTCTAGGGTTTGCCAGGGTTACTCCTGTGAAGAAAAGGGCCACTTGCACCCCCTGCCCATCTCTACTGTTCCAAGCCTTCCTTAGGAAACTAGTAACCCTCAGATGTGCTCAAGTCCTACTCACAAAGGACTAAGAGGGAAACGGAGAGGGGATTGGAGCCAGGGATCTTGGATCTGGCTCCAGATGCACCCTACTATTAGTTGCATGGCCCTGGATGGATCCCTGGGATGCTGTCTCTTGCCTTCCTCATCTTGGAATTGAATAAGGTAGCAAAATCAGAATGTACCTAGACAAGGATCTTGCCTATAAAGGCCTCACAGCAGGTACCCCCTAAATCTGGATTCAAAGCAATCCCTTGAGCAAAAAGGTATGATGTGCTGGGCAGCCTGGATTCTAGATCTAGCGCTGCCTCTATGTGTCTATGTGAGGCCATTCTAAGCAAGTCATCTTCACTGGGCTTTAGTCTCTTCCTTCATAAAATTCAAGAATGCAAAATCACTCACTCACACACACACACACACACACACACACACACACACACACACACACACACCACCATACACTTCTTAGTGGCAGTGACAGACATAAACAATCAACCACAGCACTACCACCTGCTGAATCCACCCAGATGCAGTCTCAGCATCTCCATGCAGCCAGCACCACTGAGTGAGAGAGCTGGCTCAAGAGATGGAACCACAATTCTGTGTCTGAATTTGGTAGTTTTATGGTCCCAGGACCCAGCACAGTAACTTGCTGTCACAATGTCCTCTTTTTGTACAATGACCTCTTCCAACAAGGGTATTAGGATTTAAATGAGACTGTATGTTCATGATGGACTTGCAAACAGTGCTATCCACTGGTTCACTTCACTTCACAGGTAAGTTCCTATCTCCATTTCCAGAGACAGACAGAGTGCCTGATCTCAGGTCCAGGAACCTGCCTCTTGAAGAGCCTCATGCAACAGGAGACATGAGGTTCAATGAAAAGACCCTGAGCCTGGATGACCCTGAGAAAATCATTACACCTCTTTGGGTCTGGTTTCCCCTGGATAAGAGCGACAGATTCATATCTTAGCAAGTAGGAGTGAGTACCAGAAAAGACTCAGGAAAAGGGTACCTCAGAGCAACCCGCCATATGAAATGTAGGAGGCCTCAGGACCTTGGTGCCTTGGCTAGGGGTAGAGGAGATGGGAATAGGGCAGGTAGGTCTTTTTTTCTTTTCCTTTTTTTTTTTTTTGTCGGCCGTGGGGCTTGAACTCTGGGCCTGGGTGCTGTCCCTCAGCTCTTCAGCTCAAGGCTAGCGCTCTACCACTTGAGCCACAGTGCCACTTCTGGCTTTTTCTGTTTATGTAGTGCTGAGGAATCGAACCCAGGGCCTCATGCATGCAAGGCAAGCACTCTACCACTGAGCCACCTTCCCAGCCCCAGTCTTTCTTGTTAGGTTCAGTAAGGCCATATGCACACTGGAAGCTCTGCTCTAGCAGAGCAAGGCACTGAGAAATTACAGACATGGTGAAAGTATACACAATGGGAATAGTGGAGTAACCCCACACCCCATAACTCAGATCTCACTGTTTCCTCTAAGTTCTACTTTCTGGGGTCTGCCCTGGGCAGCAGCCCTGCCTATGGTCTCTAGCTACCAGTCTGCAATTAGAGCCAGATCAATGTAGCTTGGGGGCCTCAGGCACTTCATGTGGACAATGGTGTTCACAGCCTTCCAGCTAGAAGGGTTGAGGACGGAGCACAGCAACTCCAACTCCATTCTGCCTGCTGCCCCTGCCACAAATAGCAGCTTCATGTCATTTGCAGAGAGGCATTCCTCCCTCCCACCTACCCCTGGGGTTTCCATCCACCTCAGTGGTCCCTGCTGCTGCGGGTGACTAATCAACAGGGTAGCTTGATGCTGTCTCACTGACACTGATTCAACAGCCTCTGTATGTAGCCTTTGCTTGTACCAAACAGGAGGTGCACTCCTGTTTCTCCTCCAAAACTCAACCTAAAGGCCACCTCTTCTGTGGAGCACTCCTTCTCCTTTTCTCTTATCCAATGTCTGTCTCCAGCTCCTCTGGCTCTCCTCACCTCTACTAACTTGTAATGATGAATTAGGATGCTGAGGGTGACAGGTGCGGGGGGGGGGGATACAGCTACACCTGAGGAAGGTCAGTATAGCTGTCCCTGGGAGGGAGTTCTAGCTCACAGGGTCAATATTCAAGCATGCTGTGCAAAGAGCTGAGAATCAACCACTCCTGGAAGCTTTTGGAAAACAAGGATAAGATTTGTTTATTCCAAAATATGCTTTATTGATAAAATAGGTCAACTTCTGGAAAAAAAATAACCTTGCATGTCACTCCAAGGGGGCCACAGGCCACATCCCCCTGAGGGTACACACATGATTGTCGGCAGATGATCACAAAGCAGTCCCTTCCCCTGAACCCAACCCCCCAACCATACCCCAGGCCAGTGTCCTTGCTTGACAGCCACCACCCACTGAGGACCAAGTTGGGCAGCCTTCTTCCTCTGGAAGGACTCTTCGGACATCATTCTCTCCACTCCAGAAAACTCCCTTAGCACCCTGCCAGATCTAGCAGGTGCATACACTGCCAACATCCAGGTGCTCAGCCCACCCTTCCCCAATACTAAGAGGTCTGCTGCTCAGCGCTGAAGCCAGAACAGCCCATGGAGAAGGCTGAGAAACATCCCTCACGCTCCCAGTTGTTCCAAATACCAAGATCTGGGGTGCAGGGAGAAGCAGGAGGGAGAGGCTCCTCAGTGTACAGCCCCATCACTGCAGGGTCCTAGACAGACAGACAGCAAGCCACCCACCAGGGGTGCAGTTAGCAATATTTTACAAGGACCCATACAGGGCAGAGACCTGCCAGAGCCAGAGCACTGTAGCAAGTGGCTCTCCCAGGAGTCCACCGAGGCCCTGCCCAAGTCCTCCACCTGAAGTTATCTCAGACTGCTTCCGTGGTGTGGGTATTTTTAGCTGTCTTGGGGAAACAATTTCCTTGCTTGATGACAAAAGATTTATCTCCCACTGGTGTAGGGGCCAAATCACTGAAAACCCTCTTGGTGTTGCAAGAAACATGTTGAGAAGCTGTCACTTAGCATAATAACTCAAACCTTTGCAGGCACAAGAGCATGTTCTTAAAGAAATCCTGAAACTTGAAATAGTGATTCTGTGTGCTACTCCTCGCTTCCCATTTGGGGTAGGAATTCATACCCCAGGCATAGAACAAAAGTCTGCAGGAAGGCGGGTGGTGGTAAACACATAGAAAAGGGATTTTTATATCACCAGATAATGACATTTGCTGGTTCGCTAGTGCATTCCCCCATGGAGCTCAAAGCTTTCTGCAGAGCTTTCATCTCCCTTCAGCAAGTAGGCGGCAAAGCAATTGTCGCCCTGGCTTTGACAAGGGGCGAATGCCAGGGTTTAAGGATCATCCACTGGAGCAGAGGCTAGACCCCCCAGACCACCTCACTAGATGCAGCAACATGCCCACTTGCTTCCCAGAAGGGTGCTGGGTAAAGAAACCAATCCACAGTTCTGATCTTCTAAGGAGCCACAATCTGAAGGTAGGGGGAAATGGAGGGCGCAGAGACAAAACCATCATATAAATCCCCATTCTGGTGCCCAAGACAGGTGAACAGTTTCATTTCTTCCTCCTTAGCAGCAGTACCTCTTGGGAAAAGGAGAAAGCTGGCTTCCTGCTCTCTGGGGGAAGGGGGGGGCTTGGGGTGATAAAAAAGAAACAGAAAAGGTCACCAGCAAGTCACCTGGCAAGGCACACAGGTACCTCAGGAAAGGAAGGCCTACCTATCAGCTAATGGGTGACTGCGAGGGAGGTCCTCTATTCCAGCCTCATTTCAGCTTCATCCAGGAAGAGCCAAACTGTTATCCATCTGCTTGTGTTTGGGTGGTGAAGATATTTCCCCCACAACAGAGCCAGCAAAGGAAGACTTTGAGTGAACCCATTTAAACAGCCCCTCTGTCCCAGACCTTCCAGAGGGGCTCCTAGGATGAGGTCTGTAGGAGCTGGACGGGGACCAGAAAGCCCCAGGGAGACAGCCCCATAGAGCAGAGCAAGAAACGGTGAGTGACCCTGGCATCATTCCTATACTGGCAGGGGGCAAGCAGGCTCACCAGGATGTCTGGGTCCACTGGCGGCAAAGGATCCTTCTGAAGGCACGGCGAAAGTCCTGGTTGAAGATGGTATAGATGACGGGGTTCAGAGAGCTGTTGCAGTAACCGATCCAGAAGAAGAACTGGAAGAGTCCATGGGGCACCTTGCAGTGCTGTGGGCAGATGGCACCTAGGCTGTAGCTGAAGAAGAAGGGGAACCAGCAAAGTACAAAGACACCGATGACCACAGCAAGCACAAAAGTGAACCTCTTTTCCCGGGTCAGCTGTGCCCGGCGACGCCACCACCTCCCACTCATAGCACCCACACCCCTGCCCAGGAGCACCTGGCCACGAAGGGTGGCCAGCACCTGGGAACCCTGGGGTTTCTGCAAGGGTGGTCTGTGTACAGAGGCAGGAGACACTGGCACTGCCTGAGGTTCACAGGCTTCTTCCTCCTCTTCCTCTTCCTCCTCAGCGTCCTCTTCTTCCTCCTCAGCTTCCTCCACAGATGCCTCACAAATGCTCTTCTTCGGGTCCTGGCCTGAATTGGGAAGGGCAGGCCAGCTAGGTGGCAAGGCCCTAGCCCCCAAATCTTCTGGGGTCTCCCCTTCGTTCTTCTCTCCAGGAGGATTGGGGCATCCATTGGCCTCTCCAGTAGAAGGAAGACGAGAGGCCAGGGTTGGCACCTTGGCTGAGGTTGGGGGGCCCCCAGGGGCAGGACGAGACTGCTTAGACTCACCATCCTCAAGGCCTCTCTTGGCCCTTGGACCTCTGCGGTTGCTGCTGCGTTTTGCAATCAGGTAGATGCGCAGGTAGACAAGAATCATGATAAGGCAGGGTGCAAAGAAAGACGCGAAGCTGGAGGCCAAAATGTACCAGGCCTCTTGGTTGAGCTTGCATTGGGGGCGCCCGTGGGGCTGGGGTCCCTGGTCACCCTTGTAGATGAGGGGCGGCAGCGAGATGAAGGCTGCGATGAGCCACACGGTGAGGATGATGCACTTGATGCGGCGCGGAGTGCGTTTGGAGTTGTACTCCAGCGCGCGGCTCACCGCCCAGTAGCGATCCAGGCTGATGGCGCACAGGTGCACAATGGACGAAGTACAGAAGAGTACGTCGAGCGCCAAGTAAACCTCGCACCACGTGCGCCGGAAGTACCAGTAGCCCAACAGCTCATTGGCCAGCGAGAAAGGGATGATGAGCGTGGCCACCAAGATGTCAGCGGCCGCCAGTGACACCAGGAACAGGTTTTGTGGGGCGCGCAGGGAACGGCTGGTCAACACAGCCAGGATGACCAGTGAGTTCCCAAAAATGGTGAAGAGGATGAGGAAGGTGATGACCGCCGCGATGGCGGCCGTGGCCTGCACGGAGTAGGGCTCCTGGTGGTCCATGGTGGCCAGGGAGAGCGCAGCTCGCCAAACGCACGCACCACAGGCGAGAGGGCCACCCTGGCTGGACCACACGAAGGGGTCGTCCCCCTGGTAGCGCAGAAGGCTCTGTGGCGCCAGGATCTGGCCGAACGCGGCCTGGGAGGTCTGCAGCACCCGGGCCAGCCACTGCCCGCCTACATCCCCATCCCACAGTCCCCGCAGGCCGTCCAAGAGAAGTTTTCCAAGTTGTCCCGCCGCGGTCCCAGTCCCACTCGCGACCCGAGGAAAGTAGCGCCGTCGTGCCAGGAGGCTCCCGGACGCACGGTGGGGTTCAGGGCCCCGGGCCGGGTTGATGGAGGTGCGCGGCGGGTCCTGGCGGAGGCGCAGAGCTGACGCTCCGCGCGCAGGCTCCCGCGCCGCGCCGAGCCGAGCCTGCCTGCAGCCCGCGGCGGCTGGGGAGTGGGGGAAAAGGCTGGAGGAGGGAGGAGACTGGAGGCGGGAGCAGGAGGAGGGGAGGGAGGCGGGGCGGGAGATTGGCCTAGGGTGGGCGGAGGGTGCACTTTGCCTGCGGGTAGACCAGCGGTGCCCAGCCTCCGGAACTCGGTCCTCCGCCCGGGCGCCCCACACCTTCTCCCGGCAGCCAGACCAGAGGGGGCCGGCGTGGCGGGGGGTGGGGGGCGAAGGGGAGGGTTTGATCTCTATGGCTGTGCGAAGAAAGGTCGGTGCGTGGCTGGGAGATGAGGTCGCTGAGCATCTTCGGGCACCGGTAAGGATCCATTTGGCTGCGGACTGCAACGCTGGGGCGGAGCACCCGGGTCTAGGGCGGTGGGCACGATCTGATTGCTCCTGCTGCTGCCCCGAAGAAGTCTCAAGTGGAAAGTCTGGGAGGGTTGAGATGCTGGCGCATAAGAAGCTACATCCCCACCCCAAACTCCACCGGAAAAACAACAACAACAAAACAGCGAGGGGCTCCGGGTCGGGGGAGCAGGGGTGCTGGGCCTTGGCCCATTTGGGCTTCGCCACCCCGGCTGGAGTCGGCCGGACCTGTGAAGCCTGAGAAGGGGCGCGTTTCTGGGTAGCGAGCGCCACCTGCTGCCGCCTGCGTAACGAGGTGGTTCTCAACCTGCGGGAGACCCGCGCCCTTTCACTGAAAGGATCCCAACTCCCTGGGAAGCGACTGTATGATTTTAGCTTTCCTGTTGCTGCCTCGTTTTCCACCATTAAGGTCAAAGAAGGTAAGAGGGAAACTGGCATAGACGCAGGTCAAAGCAACAGCTGGTCTCCTGCTTTGGGCTGGGGGCGTGGAGAACGCCAGCCAGCCCTTGACCACAGGAAGAGGGCTGAAGCCTTCTTCCAGCCAGAGTGAGGCTCTTTCTCACGCAGCTCAGAGTAAAAGGCAGTGCCTGAGACACAGAAAGGGAAAGATCTTGTCTTTGCCCAGCTGCACTGGAAACAAGAACTCGGTGAGAAAAAAAGGTCACACACTAAACCCTGATCCCACCTGCCTGAACTCAGGTCCCCTCACACTCCCCACTTGCCCCCAGCCATCAATTTCCTCCTGGACAGCCTCAAGAACATCTGTATTAGAAGTCTTGTTGGTGTAATCCCAGAGTAGAACAAGACCTCACATTTACACAGCCTTTTGGCAGTGCATCGTTTAGATACACGTCTTGATTCATCTCAGAAAGCAGGGCTTCCCCACTTCAATCCAGCATGCCCACTGGACCTTCACTCTGGCCTGGCCACTTCTCTGAGAGCAGGAGTGTGACCTCTGACAATATCTTATCCCTACCCAGGCTTAGATCTGTGATCTCCAGACCACCTGCCTAGCCTGGTCAAATGCAGCTTCCTCCTTGATCTTGGCCTGATGCTGCCATCCTGCTGGACCACACAGCACTCCAGTTAGGCGTGACAAACCCAGCTGGATGAGGAAATTGAAACCTAGGTAAGAGAGGACAGCCAGCTTCCTTGGCTCCTCCCCAGACCTCCATCCACAGCAGACCACTAGAGACATTCCTTTTATACATTCTTCCTGCTGACTGGACTGGGAACAGCCTGTGCCCACAGTCATCAGAGATGGAGAGGCCCCTACACTGAAGGATTGAGGATGCTATGGGAACCAGGAAAGCTACTTGGGAAAGTTCCTGCAAGTCCTAATTGCCCCCTGCACCAGAGTCTGCACCCCAGAGACCCAAAGGGGGCATGGAGAGGGACTACTTGTCTGCCATCTCCATACTCAGGCTGAGGCAGGAAGAATCTCCCCAAATACTAAGACTAGTATCCACTGGGGCATCTTCTGGTCTATTTTCCTTAAAGGGCTAGGCCTCCAGAAAACTGCAGAAACTGAAATAGGGTTGCCCATAGCCCACCACAGGGTCAACCTTATTGTTAGTGCTACAAAGTACCAGGCCATGCTCAGCAGCCTCTACTAACCAGTGAGGGACCAGCTCAGGTGGGCACAGGCAGGAGATTGCAAGATGCACCCAAGAGGGGGTGGGAGCTCACCCCAAAGACTCACAATGGATCAGCTGCTCTTCTAGACTTTTGTCTGCTGCCACCATACCTCTCAGGCACCTCTCAGGCACACCTTCCATGAGCACTGTTTTGGGTGTACTAGTTTTCCAAGGTGGGGTTGCTGTTGCATTGGGCCTTCACACACACACACACACACACACACACACCTACACCTGTGTCTCTCCATCTCTCCCTAGCATACACCTAGCATATACCTGCTCCATCCTGCAGGGCTACAGGGGAGAGAATCTGGGCCTACCTAGCCACAGGTCCTCAGCTCTTCCTAAACTCCATCTGATCATCCATTGCAATGCCTTTCCACTCCCAGGACTGGCACTTTTTAGCCCCAGATCTACAGGAGCCAGTAGCAAGAGCCCCTAGAGCATCTCCAGCTATGGGGATGGACAGTCAGGGCCCCAACTCCATCCCCACCCCAACCAGGCTAGGGCTGACCCTCGGCATACCCTGAGTCCTCATACCTGTTATCCTTTCCAGGATGTTGTTTCTTCTGCCAGAGGGACCCCCCCTCATTGTGATGTCTCAATAGGATGCTCAGTCCTCCAGGTCCACTCACCTGTCCCCACCATCCCAGGTGGTGGAAGGTCCCTGTTCTCCCGGTCCCTCAAAACCAGGCACATGTACCACTCCTAGATGGGGTCTCATGGCACACTATATCAGGGAATGGAGTCGTTCCCTGTCCTGATCCCTGGTCCACAATGTCAGAAGATAAGGACAGTGTAGCAAGTGTCAATGTGTCTCTATGCCTGAGCACTCTTACACCTTGCCCAAGTGAAGGTGTCCTGCAGGGATGGCCTTGGAAACAGGCCCTCAGGAAACCAGTGGCCTAGCATTTAAGCAATTAGTTTTTCCAAAGAAGAGCAAAATCCTTCTCCCCAAGTTGGTCATGAGAGCCTAATGAGGCCTGTAACTTCTTAGTGAAAAACCCTGGAGCAGATTCTCCTCCAGGGCTGAGGTATTTGGTGGCCCAGACCTCTGCCTGGAGGGTTCTACTTAGTGCTAGTCCCACACTAAAGTCTTTGCCTCTTAAGTAAGGCTCCTGGACCTTTATTTCCAGAACTTCCTGTTTGACCCTGGAGCCATCCTCTGTCATCAGCATGACAAAGTCCCAACCCTGATCAAATTGTCTTCCAACCCTGATCAAATTGTCTTCCCACCCTGGGTTTGACCAAGTGATTCCCCTTCCCAGAGCCACACACTCATGGCATTACCACATCAACTAGCTTTGCTTTAAACTCATGACCACCAATCTCCAGACTTTTCTGGTCTACTTTCCTTCCCATTGACACTCTACACCCCAGCCTTGCCCACCCCGAATCCCCCCCTGCTGTGACTTTTGTCTGGTACTCAGGAGAAATGGAGGCCATTAGGCAGGAGGGTCCCCCAAGGCCCCCTGTACCAGAGTTCAAGCTGTTTGCTCCCATACAAAGGACCAGGAGCCCAGCCCCTTCATCTGTGCCAGCCCACCTCCTAGCATGAGCCAGAAGGTCCCCTAGACAGCCTTCCTTCCCCCAGCAGGCAGCAGCACCCATACTACTGCCTCCAGGCTCTGTCCCTGCTCCCCACTCTTAGCCCTTGGAAGTAAGGCATCTGATGCCTGCCCTCTAGAGTCCATCCCTGGTTGGATGGACTGTATCCTCTTTGTCACTTCCCTTCCCTTGGAACTCTCTCAGACTCTGCTTCCTGTCTTTTCCCAAACTCACTCAGATGTTCTCCCTGAACATGGCTCTCCTCCCCACAAGAGGAGCACCTGGAAACACCTTTCCCTGGCACAGTGCCAGGTGAGGAACAGTAGGGAAACAAAGGTGTAGCTAAACATTGTGAGGTGTATACACAATCCCAGAGCAAGGGCCTGCTGCATGGTCGGAGAGAGGAAAATGCTGTTCTAAGTGCTCAGCACCTAGACTGGTGCTGAGACCCTTCCTCTCCTGTATCTAAACTTTGGGGGAGTTGTGTGCCTATGTCACAGCTCATGTTCCATGCTAATGGCATGCCACGGTGAATCTCCTGCCCTGCTCCCTCCCCGAGCCCCCAGCCCCTTGGCCCACCACTCCATGGCCAGCTCCTGGGATGTCTCAGACCTACATTTCCCTCACCCCTGCCTCTCCCTGGGCTTCAGTTCCCAGGGCTGTGAATGGCCCAGCTGACCTCCCCAAGCGTGTGCCCCTGCCCCCAGCATTCAGTCACAATGAGGCTGTTCAACCCCCAGAGCACCCACTTCTGTCCACACCCACAGCCCTTGCCACTCATGGGCATGACTGCAGTGGCCTGCTGTTCTGATTCCAACTCCTTTTCCATACAGCCTCCAGAATGACTCAAATCCTAAGTCCTGTTGCTCCCTGCTGTTCTTGGAAAACGCTCCCCATTTGTCAGGCCTGGCCCTGGCTGCCTCATCTTACCCCACTACACTGGCCCAACACCCCTGGATTCTTCCTAATCCCCAACCCCTTGGCACCAGTGGCTCTTTCACTGGATTTTTCGCAGGCAGCCACCCCTGACATTCAGGTCTCAGTTTATCTGTTCTTTCCTCAGAAGGGCACTAAAACAGCCTATGGGAGTGCTCCCTTTGCCATTTGTCAATTCCAGGCGGTTTTCCATTGGCCAGTTGACTAACCAGCCCTCTCCCCACATCCCGAGTTTAGACACTCTACTTCAATCATGTTATTCCCAGCAATCACAACAACTGCCGGGCACCTAACTAGCATTTGTAAACATCTATTGAATAATTATACTTCCAACTCTGTGGTTGGGATCTGGGGAGATGAACACCCCAAGACTCTGTACCTATCATACCACCCAAGCTGGAGATCCCAAAAATAGAAATGCCTGGACCACCCAGGCCCAGTGCAGGGCCAAGCTGACATGACCAGGTTCCACAGTGACAGATGGCTTTGGGGAAGGACATAAAGACAGCTCTGTCCCTGACACTCCCAAAGAGGAGAGTCAGCAGGCTCACCCAACCCAATCTTCTGAAGTACCCAGATTTGTGGAACACAAGCCATATTCTAAGGGTGGCCTCTGACCAGGAGCTTGTGAAAGCATACGGTGGGGTTGGGGCATCCAGGACACAGAGCATCATCTCCTCAGACCCACTAGGCCAGCCCATAGGTTGCAAGACAGACATATTTCTCTAACAATTCGAGGTGTGACATATGCTGCTTCTACCCTAGATTGACCGAGTGCCTGTGCCTGGAGTCTCCAATGGGCCAGAGCCCCTACTCACTCTATATCACAGCCTGATCCCATCCCCCTCCATGTCCAGGGAGAGAAGGGCCATGTTCCCTGCCCCCTACCTCATGATCCCTCCCTGAGTCTAGTGCCCTATGTAGCCTCAGAAAGTTCTAGACTCCAATCTGAAATCCAAGCAAGACTGAGGGCAGAGGTTACAGAGCTCCAAGGATATGTCTGGTCCTTAGAGGGACATGCCCTCTAGAGCCTGGCAAAGGCCAAGCCCTCCTGGCCCTTCAGGACTCTGGGCCTCAGTCCTGCAGAGTTGCTCCTTTCTGAGCCACACTGAACATGTCACGTGCTTCCTGAAGTCTGGATCTTTCTCTGGAAAGTGGGTATGTGCCTCTGGGGACCCTCTATCTGCCAGTCAGCGGCTGAAAGGCTCTCACATATGGTGTATAGGGATGTGAGCAACAGCACAGAAATGCAGCAAGCACCTCACTTTATTTCTGACTTCACCCCACACGGTGGAGGCTTCCCCCACCCCAGGGACACAACTGACCCTTTCTCCACTCCACTCCCCCCAGTGCAAGCAGGGTTTCCTTGAGCTTCTGACCTCCAGAATGGGGACTGAGAATCTTCTGGCCCAGACCACTTATTACTGATGCCCACATTCTCTTTGCTCCTGGAAAGAACCTCATGATGAAGGCCAGGAAAGAATGGAGCTTGACCGAAGGAAAATAAGTAGGGGGACCCCCAACCTATCTTCTCCAGGGTCTCCTCAGGCCGAACCCCTTAGAGGAAGGCTTGAGGAAGCAGTGGTCTGGAATAGAACTGAGCTTCATGTCTATCCCGGACTTCAGGCTCCCTCATACAGACCTGAGGGCTCTACCTTTTCCTGGTCTCAGGCTGGTAGTGGCTCTAAGTCCCAAGATGTCTTACTCTACAAAGGTGCAAAATGGACTCGCAGCACTCCCTGGAGAGCAGGGCTGGAGACCTGACCCACTAAAGACAACATCCTTAGTGGCATGACATCAAGGAATGGGACACTGCTTTAGGGTTCCAGCCACAGAGTTTTCCCTGAGGCTTGTTCCCAAGGCACAAGTAGAAGCAGCACCATTAATCCATGGGAGGGAGAGGAGGGCTGTGTCAGCCAATGGAGAGTTCTCAGGGCCACCAGGACTGGAACCTGAGTCTTCCTCACCCCCCACCCCCACAAGAATCTTGTCCTTGAAGGATATGACTCCCATTCGCTGCATCTTTCAGGGTTGAATAAAAAGTCAAGAGCAGAGGCCAGGCCTGTGACCACCCAGCGGGAACCTGGAGGGACATGATGGGGAAGAGATGGGAGACAACTGTGCCTCAGAGTGACCAGGGTGGAGCTAGAAGGCAGGGCTGCTATCCAGAGGGGCCAAGAGTTAGATGACCTAGCACCTCTGAGCAGACATGCCCTCCCCACCTGGGGACAGAAGCCACATGCTCAGGCCCTGAAGTGACTGCCAGGTACACAGCATGCTGGCAGAGCTGGGTTCACCAAAGCAGTCTGGATAGGTGCTGGCTCATCTGCTACTTCTGGAAGTGGAGCTGGGGGACAATGGGCACCTAAGTATGTCTCTGGAGCAGTCTAGGCTAGCCCGTTTCTGATCTTGAGAAAACTAGGGGCTGAGGTGCTGTTGCCAACGCTGATCCACATCGAACTTCCTTGGGGCAGGGAGCTCCCACTCACGTGAGCTCTCTACAGACCCTTCAGCAACATGCTGGCCTCCAGCCCCGAAGCCACCAAGGTCAGGGTTCCCAGATTCCACCCGTAGTGCCTCCAGGAGTCTTTGTAGATATGGTCTGGAGGCTGAATTGGGGTTCCTACCAACACTGGGTACATGGAGCCCTAGAAGCAAATCAAAATTCCAATTAAATAACTATACCCATTAGGATGGCTATAATGAAAAAGATCGGTTGTAAGCATTTGCAAAGATAAGAAATGAAATGTGGTGTGGCTACTTTGGAAAATAGCAGCTGAGTTTGAAGTTGCAATAGGGCCTAGCAATTCTCAGTATGCCAAAAAGAAAATATAGAGCCTAGCACACGAATGTCCATCCTATTAGTAGCTGAAAACCATATTTAATTTACCTTCCATATGGTGCCGTGTCCAGGGAGGGGGTTTTTGAGTCAGGAATGGCAGAATTTCCTGACCACCCCTTTTCTGCGAACCAAACTGCCTTGAGATGCCACGCGAGACTCTTCACCAATAACATTGCTGGCCTCCCCATCCACACCACACCACTTCTCTATTCTGGTGAGTAAACTCTACAGGTTCTCTGGTTTTCTGTTTGACTATATGTGGCTCCACACCAGAGAACTTTCTACAGCTTTAGGCCTGGGCATCTCCAAAGACACTTGGTTTGGGGGCTTGGCCTGTTTGGTCTAGGGGGCACTGGAGGATGCGGGACACTGCTTCTATCTGGTAAGCTCTTCTTCACGACCAAACCGATTCCCTACCACTCTTTTAATGGGGTACTGCAAGTCAGGCCCAAGCCAGGACACTCGGTTGGAGTCCTCATTGCAATTGCAATGTGGCCTGGTAGATGTCACTTGGCCAATAAGAAATGAGATGTTGGGAAGTGCTACAGCATGGGTGACTCAAAACATCAGCCTAAGGGAAATAAGGTAGATGCAAAAGGCCACGTAATTCCATTTACATGAATTGTCCAGACTAGGTAAATCCAGAGACAAGGTAGATTAGTGATTAACTGGAGCTAAGGGGGATGGAGGGCACTCACATGCAAAATGACCTACAAATAAGATCTGGGTTATGAGCAAGATGTCAAATTGTTTATTCCTGTTCATAGGGCAGACATTACCCATTGCTTTGGTGTTATTGGGATTTTAGATTTCTGCCAATTTAAGGCAAGAAAATGGTTTTGCAATTTTTTTGTTTGCTGTTCCTGGGGCTTGAACTCAGGGCCAAAGCGCTGTCTGAGACTCTTTGTGCTCAAGACTAGTGCTCTACCACTTGAGCCCCAGAAAAAGCTGGCTTTTTCTGAGTAGTTTGTTGTGGTAAGAGTCTCATGGACTTTCCTGTCTACACTGGCTTTGGACAGTAATCCTCCCAGATCTCAGCCTCCTGAGTGGCTAGGATTAGTTGTAAGCCACCTGCATCTGGCTTCTTTTGCATTTCCTAAATCACTAATAAGTCTGTTTGGGTCATTCTGTTTTTAAGATAGTCTCCCTATGTCTCCCAAAGAGGTCTTGAACTCTTGGTCCCCCTGCATCCTTATCCCAAATGCTGGGCTTACAGTTGTATACCACCACACCCAACAGACTGAGGGTGTCATGCTTGTTTCATGTTTGATTTCTCCCAATATATCTGTTAAGTATCTTACCCATTTTTCTATTTGGTAGTTTTTCTTTTGCCTTATTAATTTTTATGTATACTGCATGCAACTGATGGTATATTGGAAACGTTTTCTAGGTTTATAATGTGTGTTTTTACTTTATTCATATTATCTCTTGATAATTAGTTTTATGATAAATGTAGCTGGATTTGTGAATCCCAGTTTTAGGGATAGGATTATTTATACCTTATTTAAGAGAACTTTCCCTGTCGTGAGGTTATAAAAATAGCTTGTCAAAAGCCAGGCACTGGTGGCTCACACCTGTAATCCTTGCTACTCCTGAGGCAGAGATCTGAGGATCACAGTTTGAAGCAAGCCTTAGCAGGAAAGTCCATGAGACTCTTATCTCCAATTAACCACTAGAAAACCAGAAGTGGCCCTATAGCCCAAAGTGGTAGAGCACTAGCCTTAAGCAAAAGAGCTCAGAGACAACTCCCAGGCCCTGAGTTCAAGCCCTATGGCTGACAAGAAAATCTTGTTGAATGTTTTTTTTTGAAAGTTTATCATTTACATACAAGTCTTACATGCATGGATTTATTCTGCACAATTAAGAATTTTAAGTAGTTACCTAATAGTCTCAGAATCCCCCAGTAACTAATTTACCTTTCCCTGGTGATCATCAAACTCTCTATGGGATCCACCTCTGGACCTGCCATTCAATTCCCACAGACAATTGACTCTTTTGTATGAACACACCTTATAAGGTGTATATCTGTATACCCGTAGGTGTGTTATACAGATTATCTTATAAACAATGACTGTGTTGCTAGGCCAAGACACTACTTTTCTTCAAGACTGACTTGGCTATTATAGGTAACTCATCTTATCATGCAAATTTTAGAATCCCTATCTGCACCAAAACTTACTTGGATTTTGAGTCGAAATTTCTTGCCTATAGATAATATTTGAGAGATGAGTTTTTATCTTCCTTTTATCCTCCTTTCCATGACTGTGATACATATCTATAAATTTAACACTTTTGAGGTGGGTACTGGGCTTTGAATTCAATACCTTGTGCTTGCTAAGCAAGCACTCTACCCTTGAGCCATGGCTTCAACTCATTTTATTCTAGTTATTTTTCAAATAGGGCCTAATATTTATGTTCTAGCCAGTCTGGCCTGTTACCCTTTTTAATCTATGCTTCCTAGACAGCTGAGATGACTATGTCTTTTTTTTTTTTGGCACTGGGGATTGAACCCAGGACGTTGCACTTGCTAGGCAAACGCTTTGCCACTGAGCTACATCCCAGCCCGCTGAGATGACTATGTACTACCACATCCAGCTTTTTATTAGCTGAGATGGGAGTTTCATGAACTTTCTGCTCAGGGTGGCCTCTAATCATGATCTTCCTGATACCAACCTCCTGAGTAGCTAGGATCACAGGCATGAGCCACTATGCCCAGCTTTCGTTTTTTTTTTTTTTTTTTTTTTGGTTAGTCATGGGGCTTGAACTCTGGGCTTGGGTGCTATCCCTCAGCTCTTCAGCTCAAGGCAAGCACTCTACTGCTTGAGCCACAGTGCCACTTCCGGTTTTCTAGTGGTTTATTGGAGATAAGAGTCTCACGGACTTTCCTTGCCCAGGCTGGCTTTGAACAGTGATCCTCAGATCTCAGCCTCCTGAGTAGCTAGGATTACAGGCGTGAGCCACGGCGCCTAGCTTCAGTATTTTTTTAAATGAATATTTCACATTGCCCTTTGGCACCATTTAGGTGCTTTTCCCAGGGTGAGGAGGAGGGAAAGGGAAGTGGGGGGAAAGATGGGGGAGAGGAGGAAGGGGAGGGAGAGAGGTTGAAAGAGAGATGGGGAGGCATGGGGATACTGGGACTGAACTGAGGGCCTTATGCTCTTGTTTGGCTTTTTTACTCAAGTCTGGTACTCTACCACTTGAGTCACACCTCCAGTTCCCCTGTAGAAGTCTTAGACGGCTTCTTGCCACCTTTATTCCTTGAGACCTATTACCAGTATTATAAAGGTGTTTTAAGTTGTATTTTCCAAAGGTAAATATAATTGAGTCTAATACATTGGTTACATTTCTTTTTAAATTTGTCTTTGCTCTAATCGTTGTATATAGGGTTTTTCTACTTGCAACACAATCACCCCTCGTTAGTGACTGGTTTGCTTCTTTTCCAATTCTTTCTTTTTGTCATCCTGCAACAGCTAAGACTTCCCCTACAGTGTTGGGTAGATGAGACAATGAGAAAACTTGGTTTTAGTTTTTGTAGTTTGCCATTAAAAATTACTTCTGCTCTTAAGTTTGGATAGATGTCCATTATCTAGGTTAAGAAAAAGTGGCCTCTGGGCTGGGAAGGTGGAGAGTGCTTGCCTTGCATGCATGAGGCCCTGGGTTCAATTCCTCAGCACCACATAAGCAAAAAGAAAAAAGCTGGAAGTGGCGCTCTGGCTCAAGTGGGAGAGCGCTAGCCTTGAGCTGAAGAGCTGAGGGACAGCGCCCAGGCCCAGAGTTCAGGCCCCATGACCAGACCCAAAAAAAAAAAGAAAAGAAAAAGAAAAAGTGGCCTCTGTTCATTTGCTAAGTAATCAAGTGGCTGTTAACTTCATTCCATCTGTTTCTGATGATGGTATTTGGTGAGCCACAGTGATCTTGCCCACCTCCCCTCTGCAGACTCATCTCCCACCACCTCACCCCACATCAACATGGCGCTTTCTCCACTTCACATCACCTCCCCATCACTCACCGTTCCCAAAGGAGTCAGGACCTGTTGGGCTGCAGTCATAGAGCTTGCGGACCCTGCTGATATCCGAGGCACTCAGGTTCCATCTCTGGCCGATGTGGGCACTGGGGGCCCAGAGCGGTATGATGGTGGGCTGCCTGTGCCAGCTGAAGGCCAACCTGGAACCCAGGATGGAGCCTACATGAAGACCACAGCAGGGACTGGGAGAGTGGTGCAGGGGAAGGGAGGGAGGAGAAGAATGCTTACCTCCCATAGTGCATCACTGATGAGTAGTCGTAAGGGGCCAGCATGTTGCTGCTCTGAGACTTGATGAAATTGATTTCAAAGCCTTAAAACACCACAGAGAGAGGGGGGAGGGAGAGAGAGAAATGTGAGGAGGCAAGGCATAAAAGATGACTTTCTGGGAATTAGTTACCCACCTACACCAAGGAATCTGAACCCACAGCCAAGTGTGTTCTTTCTGGTTCCTAACTCCTGCATGCCTGCACCACCCTGCTCTCCCCTGGGAGAGAGGCAAACCCAAGCAATGACGTCATAGCCATCACCTCCCACCAACCAAGTCTCTCCTCTCCTTCCTGCTCAGATCCACCATATACGGGCCTAATATGCTAAAACTACAGTGTCTATGAGTCTATACCCAGTGAACAGTCTCAAAAGTGTGCTAGCCAACCGGCAGCTAGTGGCTCATGCCAATAATCCTAGCACCCCAACAGGCGGAAATCTGAAGATTGAAATTCAAAGCCGTCCAAGGAGGAAAGTCTGTGAAACTACCTCCAATTAACGACCAAAGAGCTGAAAGTGGTGCTGTGGCTCAAATGGTAGAGCACCAGCCTTAGTGAAAAAAAAATGAATACCAGGAAGTTGAAGTTTGTAGTGTGAGGTAGTGAGGTCAAGGAGAGGAGGGGCAGATGAATGGAGGAAGGGTGGGCAAATGCAGATTCAATATTCAATGTCTATATATGTGAAAATGGAACCAGGCCAATTGAAGGAATGGCTGGGGTTGAAAGATGGGGGAGAATGACGAAAGGGGCGACATTGATCAAAATGCATTGTCTCACAACCTGACATGTTGAGTCAAAACCATTCTGTACAGGCTCATCGGCTGCACTGGACATTGAGGAAAATGAATTAAGCAACTGAAAGGAAGCAATGGGAGGGAGGGAATGAGAGGGAAAGAGGGAACAGCTGACACTAAGCAAAAGAAAAGAAGTGTACATATCACTTGAAGTGGAAGAAATAGTTGTATTGTCCAAGCTCATAGAACTCACAAACCTTATAGACAATTTGCCTTGTGACAGTTAAAATGTGTTTGTGACCAAGTATCACTATTCCACAATACTGTGAAATAGGTGAAATTTATGTAATCACCTCATCTCAATAAAAAATTATGTTTAAAAATCCTCTGTACAATTAAGGAAATAATAATTAACAAATAAAATGAAAACCCTAAGGGGCAGCATCCAGGTATTGAGTTCTGGAATCATGATGCTCGCACCCCAGCAGCAAGTACCTCTTGATCTTCCTACTGCAGGCTATATCTGGAGCCCACCAACCTAGTCATCCTGGTTGGCCAGAGAACAACTCTCTGGATCCTCTGGGCCCAGGAGGGGCAGGTTCTCTCCTGCCCTTCACTATAAGCTTCTGAAAGGGAGCTATTGTCTGCGTCTTTGTTCTTAGTCCCCCAGATCCAGCCAGCCCTGTTCTCAACATCTCCCTCCCCAAGGTCATCATCAGCCATCTTACCACAAAGTAGATCAGCATTTCAGTTCCTTTCTATTTCACTACCTGCCAAAAAATATCTGCTCTGGAGTATGCAGCATTCTTCCCTTTAAAATCCTTTTCTTTGTTGTTGTTGGGTTTGAACTCAGAATCTTGTATTTGCTCAGTTAGTGCACTACCACTTGAGCCATGCCTCCAGCCCAAATGTTTTTTTTTGCCAGACTCATTGGAAAAAAAGGACTCGAGCATTTTTTGGGCCTGGGCTAACTTTGAACTGGTATCCTCAGGAGTATATAGGATTACAAATGTGAGCCACTGACATCCAACTTGCTTTAAAAACTTTTATTATCATAGGGTGTGGTCGTACACACCTGTGATCCCAGTACTCAGAAAGCTGAGGCAAGAGGCTGACAAATTGGAGGCCGGCCTAGGCTACATACGGAACCTTCCTCCCCCACAAAAACTCCTTTATTAAATATAATATTTAATAAGCAACATTTTTCTGGCTCAAAAATCAATCACTTATATAAGGCTCTAGGTTCAATATCCAGCATGTATGTGTACACAATGTGTGTCTACATATCCATGCATACATACACATATAATAATTAAACCTCCTGCTCCATCCTCATTGCTGACTTCCCATCTCTCAACCCCCACAACTGTTAATTACTGGGCTTCGTTTTTACATCTTAGCAGAGTTTGTTCTGTTCATGATAATTAAATGCAAATATGTTCTCATTTTTCTCTATTACTAAGAAAAACCATGTTTTCTCCTTTGCGGTAGCTGAGTTTGGGGTTTGGTTTTGGGGGGCCTAGCACCCTATGCATATTAAGTGTTCTGCCTTGAGCTACATTCCTCAGCCTGGAGCAGGTGGGGGCTTAGCCTGTTCTGTTGCTAGAATGCCTCGAGTTAATTAATGCTGCTTACTAACTCATTAATTTCTGCTTTTACCTTTATTAATTCCTCCAGCTTTTTTCCCCCTAAACTTAAACTGGCATGCTTAATTTGTTTGTTCTATTTTCATGGATATAAGTATCCACATTTATAAACTTTCCCAGAGCCTGACCTTAACCATGAACCATTCATTTTAATATAGTATCTCATGATGGCTGTGTGTGTGTGTAAACAAGATCTTACTATGTAGCCTAGGCTGGACTCAAACTTATGATCCTCCTCCTTCAGCCTCCCAAATATTGAAACTATGTCAGGAATAATTTTTGAGAATTCCTACACTGTTTTACAGAACTAAAAGAAACTTGGGATTCTGTTTATTAGTTTTTACTTTACATAATGATCAGAACATTCGTCCTAACTCTGCTCTTTCAAATCTCAAATTTTCCTAACTCTCCTCTTTCAAATCTCAAGTTTTCCAAGTACTCCAGGAGTGTCTGGAAGGACATGATCTCATTGCAGGCCACAGAGACTGCACCAGCCCTTATACAGTCCTCCCTAACCTAATCCAACTCAATCCCATCCCTCTATAACAGACCCCTCCACCCAAAGGCATCCTGTGACTGAGCATTCCTTGCCAACTGCTCTGTTGACCTCAGACACCTTCCCAACTTTCTTACTCAGCCAGAACCGCAGCAGTAGGAAAGCCCCTGACCCCCAAATGCCAGGAGCTGTCTGCACACAGGAAGCCCCTTACTCCTCCCCCACCAACCCCTAAACACTTCTTCCATCTAAAATCAGGCCTTTGAGCCCCTGAAAGCAGGGATCCCACATCCCTGGGATCCCCAGCATACAGACACCATTCACATGCATCTGAGCAGAGTCTTAGCTTTGCCACGGCTGGAGCCTCCTTAGTTTCCTGAGCCTTGTGCCAATGGATGCCCATCTCACATACTCCTGCATCTTGCCTTTGTTTGCTACGCCTGGCACATACAACTCATTACCTCCTGGGCTTCCTTCTTGCTCGTTGCCTTCAAGTGACATGCACCCCCACCCCTATACAACACAGGGGATGGCTAGTTGAACAGTAGGTGAGAAAAGCCATAGGACCACTGCCAATTCCATGCTCAAGTGACTAACAGCGCCAGTAAGAAGTTAGATACATAACAAATGGTGACACCCTCACTTGGGCACAATAAAAGAACACAGATGAAGGCCAAGTTTAGAGCCAACAGCCAGAGCCTCTCCAGGTGCCAGGACCAAGAAACCACACTTTTCCCTTGGAAAGATGGATAATTTTATCCAAAGGAGGCAGAAAGCTCCTTGCCCTAAGCCTGCTGCCCTCTCCCAGGGCCCTCAAGCCCAGCCCATCCTGGGCACCAGCAAGCTTACCCGGGAGGATCTCATTCCAGTTGACCCGGATGTAGCGGTCTCGGTCAGCCCGTGTATGCTCATGCCAGAAGCCCAGCACATGCATGAGCTCATGAAGGACAATGCCATGGCCCTTCTGGAGACAGGCTGGTGCCAGGGACACCACCTGCATCCCTCCACTGCGCCCTATCCCAGAGAAGCACCTGCAAGAACACAGAATGTGTCAATCAAACCAGGGGACAGGAAGAGAGGAGGCCTTTCCCTCCCCCGTGTCCTAGGACACATGAGCACCAGAAGGGGTACTCCTACCACATACCCCAGGTGTGCTTTTCCCCCACAAGCCTTGTGAATGCCCTGAGCGTCTTTCTGTGAGGTAAGTATAATGAAACCTGGGCTGCCAGGAAGAGGAGAAACCCAATAATAACATGGAGAATGGACGCAGTAGTTATGTGAGTGGACCTTCCCCATGAGCCCTAGATAACCTCAAGCCACTCCCCCATCTCAAAGAGAGGGCAGTAGGTCTTACAAGTTAGATGACTTTCCTATAATTAGGTGATGCATGCACTACAGAACCAGGATGAAAGATCTGCTCACAACTCCCACCACAAAGCCTCCCAGGATTAGAGATGAAGGTGGAGCTCAAAACTCATCCCTTCCCCACCTTCAGTCTGCAGGTCCAGCTCAGGGGCAAACCCAGAAATAAGTTTAAACCACATCAGTGTTTATTACAGGCTGAATGTTGAGACCCACATACACACACACACAGGCTGAATGTACACATACACACACACACACACACACACACCCAGGAGCACTCACCCCGACATAGGGATGATGGAAATGAAGTCTTTTTGGCCCTGGTAGGCAACAAACCGGATGCACGTGGAATGTTCAAACTCTGCAAAGGCCTGCAGGATGGCCTGGCGGCTGGGCTCATCTGAAGAAGACACCCTAGCTGACCCCCTGCCAAGACCGCAAAGCTGCTATGGCTCTCTGAAGTCTGGGATCAGGGCTTCAAGCTCACCCCCTCAAAATAGGTGACATTGAGGAAGAAGGCTGAGCTGCAGACAGACTCTAGCTGGGTAACCATGTGACCTGGAGGAACAGGACAGTCCCATCAGCTGTTCCAAGATTTCAATGTTCTGGGTTCAGGAGGCCCTGGAGACAGACCTCTTTGGAGAGGAGGGACTGCCCCTTTGGGTAAGAGAGGGGCTATGACACTACAAGGAAAAGGGTAAAGATTAACTCCAGGCAGGGCCCTACTGCCTAAAGGAGAAGGGCCCCCACAGTAAGGGAGTCACTCACCATACTTGCTGGAGAGTAGGAAGGGGACCTCCACGATGCCACCAGCACTCTTGGGCCACTTCTTGTTGGTCACTGATAACAGTCGGAAGGGGTTCTGAGGAGAGAATGCAACTCAGATCTCAAGGGACACAGGGTCCCCAAGCTTCATACCCCCCTGGGTGTCACACCTCAGGCTACTGCAACCCTGAAGATGTGAGAGGCAGGACATGAGGTGTGAGACAAGGAGATCGCTAGAAGGGAAACAGAAGCATGGGCCGTCGGCAGGTGAGCCATGTGAAATTATGAGGCCCAAGGCACCATCCTTTGCTTTGGCAAACGATGACACAAAACTTAAATATATATATTATATCAAGCAGGTAAGGACAAGAGGTTTGCCAGGTCTCAGCAGCCCAGGGGGCCTGGTTCTAACCGGCAGCCCCCACCCCAGCACCTCAGCAAAATAGTGCCACCCCAGAGCTCCTCTGAAGGTAGAAAGAGGGTGGGATGGGGTCCTGGTCACATAGATGCCCCAATGGCTCCTTTTTCCATCCTTCCACCAAATGGAATTCTGGGATATAGGCTTCACAGTTGCCAGCAGGACTTGCCTCAACACCCAGCAAAGGTTTGACTTACTGTGCTCTGTGAGGCGTCACGTGACCACCTCACCCAATGCTCCACCCCCATCTCCCAACACCCATACTTCGCTTCACTAAATAACCTACAACAGTGACCTAATCCTGCTCCCAGCTCTCCAGTGCAGCCATGGGTGTGGGAACAGCTGGGTACTCTCCTATTCTGGAGCCTTCTATCGCCATCAGTTGGCTGACATATGATTCTGCTCTCCTAAGCAATGTGTTCCTTCTTGGCTAGCCAAGTCCAAACCAGCCTCCTACGTTTTTTTAGCGGGGGGGATCCAGTCGTGGGGCCTGAACTCTGGGCCTGGGCGCTGTCCCTCAGCTCTTCAGCTCAAGGCTAGTGCTCTACCACTTGAGCCACAGCGCCATTTCCGGCTTTTTTTTTTGCTTATGTGGTGCTGAGGAATCGAACCCAGGGTCTCAGGCATGCAAGGCAAGCGCTCTACCACTGAGCCATCTTCCCAGCCCCCAGCCTCCTACTCTCTGATTTGCCCCTCACCCAAAGACATTCTCTCCATTCACAGCTGTTCTGGTTTACTCAGAGTGCTGATGTAATGCAGGCCCTTCGTCTTCACCCCTAACTCTGCTAGCCTGGACTCACATCTCCACCCCAGTGCTTCCTGAGCATCTCTCCCCTGGGCAGGGTACCAAGTGGGCGTACTATGAGGGCCCAAACCTCCTAATACAGGTGGCCCTATGGGGATGACAGCGTTGCGACTTGGCTGTCACCCTCCATTAGCATTCCTACTGATTATTCCTAATAGAACATTCACCTTGATATGACCAAAAACAAAGTGTCTATTCAGTCATGAGAAGCAAAGACAGTTCCCTCATGTCAAACATATATGACATGGAGGGGTGGGCTCAGAGGACTCAATACTCACCGGCCGGATGATATCCCCCTCCATCAAGAAGCTAGCATCTGGGGTTTCCTCTGGGATAAGCCCTGGGAGAGAAGGAAGGCTGTCTTAGTGGCCTGAATCCCCCAGAACACAGACTATAGGGACAGCAACCCCTGGGCCTTTGACTTTTAGAGCTAGCACTTTCCTGAGCACTGAGGCTCCATGGCAGCCTCCTGCCCCACTCCCCACCCCCAGCCCCCTGAGCGTCCCAGATTCTCAGCCTGATCACACCCTTTCCCTGCTTAAAACACAGCCCATGGCTCCCACAAGCCAGTCCCAGTTCCAGGCCCTCTACTATGCAGCCTCTTCTTCCAGGGGTCTCCTCTACCCCTACTCCAGCCCAACTCTCTCCTGTTCCTAAAATATGCCCTGAGCCTTTCTTTCCTACCTCATCAAATAATCCTGTCATATACAGATGTATGACCCCTATATATCTGTTACATTTGGAACCCTTGAGGTAACAAGGGACAGATATCAACTCTCAACTCACACTATGACGACCCATTTTCCCATCTTCCCTCTCTCCCCTCCATCTCTTTCTGCAGTACTGGAGCTTGACTCCAGGACCTCATATTTGCCCCACCTATTTCTCATCTCTCTCCAGCTAGGGAGCCTTCTTCAAGGCATGGGGAGAGTGGCTTCTGGAGAAGCAGATAGGCAGGAAGGGAAGCCCTGGAGGAACAGAGGCTACACCTGATCTCACGAGAGCTCTGGACCACAAGTACCACAGCTCATCTCTCCTGCCCCTTCTGAGCCATTGTCATAGAGGAAGGAGGGCTACCAGGTACCACTAGCCAACGCTGGTTCCCTTGGCCAAAGGTTAAGCTCTGCAATCGGCACAGCTGTGCGGTATTGGCAGCCATCATTCACACAGCTGGGACTGATGGGGGTTTCTCCACAAAAGCACATTGAGTAGAGCATGGGCAGTGTTTATGACTACCATTGGGCTCAGAGAGAAAGGTGTTGAAGCTGTTTTTTCTCCTTTGTATCTAAAAAATCGATGCAGGAAACATACATTGCTTCTGGCTACCTCCAGAATACGCAGGTAACCAGAGCAGGGACTGGTGCCCAGCTCAGTTTGGCAGGTGCTGGCTCTCCTAGCTGGCTCACAGAGAAGGAGGGCAGACACTGCATCTACTTAGAACCCACCACAAGGCCAGGTCATCGCTGCTCCATCAACCCCTCCACCTGTGGTGCTCGCACATGGAAATTCAAGTCTCCTTTCCATTTCCACCAGCTGCAGCCTGTCTGTATGTCCTCATTCTTAGCTGAGATCCCTCAATCACAAGCCCAGCCTGACCACACCTGCAGATTTCCCCTTATGGGGTGGCTGACATATTCTCAACCATCTATGAAGATTTAACCTAGCACCCAGCCTCAAAGAGCCCAATGACCTATACTTTTATCAGGCCATCTTTTTTGAAAGATCTGTACTTTCTTTCACATAAAAATAACACGCCACCAGAAAGGATACAGAAAAATAGATTTAAGCCTCTGCAAGTGGAACACCCACCCATTTACAGGTCCCTGAGGAAGCTGGTGTCTTTCAGGCTTTTCTTCATGCCCAGTGTTCCATGGGGCATTCCCATCACATGGATAATGTCCTACCCCTTCCAGAAGAGTTTGAGTGCCCTCACCTTGGTTAATCGCAGGGATATCCTGGTCCACGGCTGCCTGGCTTCCCGCAGAGATGAGGCCTTCTGGGACACTGGTACTGCAGGCTCCTAGACATGGGGAAGCCGAGGGTGCTCCTAGGGTCGAACCTAGCCCAGAAACACAGATACAAACACAAATACCTCATGATCCCACTTAGGAAACAGCACAACAGAATATGGGGTGCCCAAGGGTATCCACCTCTTCAGCCAAGACCTGGGGAACTGCCTGGCCGCCCTGACCAGCTCCACCTTGTGACAAGGTTTAGACAGCAGGTTGTCTCTTCCAAGGAATAACCCTTGGATCCAAAAGGCATGCATTGCATGCATGAGATAGAGAGGGCGGGAGGAAGAACAAAGGCAGGAAAGCCCGTGGGTCCTCATGCTGCTGGCAGTTCTGGGTAGCCTCAGACCCAACTCCTCAACTCCCCTTTCTCAGCCAGAGTTCTGGAAAATGAGCCTAGCCTGGATGACCCCTTCCCCTAACCAGGCTGGAATAGGGATCCCTACCCCCAAAACAAGCAGGTTTAGAGCAGGAATCAAACTGTTGTCTGCTGCTGGGCAGGCCCTCTGCCCCCAGCCTCTAGAAACTCCCCTCTAACAACCCCTTCCCCCACCCCTAGAGAGTCCTATGCTGAGCTAGTAAGCTCAGTGAAGGCCCATGTAATGAGGCTCCTGGCCTCTCTCCAGTGCTCTGGAGACTGCAGCCAGCTTACCAATCAAGAAGAGCAAACCCAGCACCCAGAGGCCTCCCATGTGCCCCATGGCACCACTGCCTCTCAGCAAGAAAGAGAACAAATCCTCCATGTAATAGAGGAGTCTAATGGCAGGCTTAACCCCCACACATACCTGCTTAAATAGCATCTCTGCCAGCCCGTTCCCCACCCCCACCCCCAGCCTCAAGTGGAAGATCTAACCATCTCCACCTGCAGCTCCTGCATTCCATACCCACCTGCAGCTCCTCCCAGCCCCAACCACCTCCACAGGCTGCCTCGCCCAATAGCTTCCACCTGCAGCCCTCCCACGCCTACTTGAGACCCGACCCTCTCCCAACCCTAGTTCAGTCCTGAGCCCTCTGGACTCCAGGCCCACTCACCCTGGCAGAAGTGGATCGAAGAGTGGAAAAGGGTCACTTAGGAGTGGCTCCTCCAAAATCCCTGCCTGCCACCAGAGGGCAGAAAAACATTGAAGAAAGGTACTCTGGGTGGGGCCGAGGCTCCAGTAACAGGAAGAACTTCATCCTCCAGCTAAAGACTCTTTCCTTTTCTCTCCTGCACCCCCTCCACCAGGGATCCTGTGCTGAGACCCTAATGCGCAGCCCCTCCCCCACCATTGCTGTGTACTTGAAGATGAGGGAAAGATGACTACATCTGATAGGCTTTTATTTTAGAATTCATATAGAAAAATGCACAATCACAAGTTCAGAGCTCTGTGAAACTTCTCACGAACACCCCTATGGTCAGCACCCAGTGGAGCTTTTTGAACACTTAGACATTCACATGGACATTTCTAATGCCACACATCCTGGCACAATGAACCAGTACATATTCTCATTTCACAGATTTGAAAAGTAAACCTTATCTACCCAGCTTCTCTGTCATAGCCCAATCACCTTCCCTCATCAACATACAGGAGGTAGAGCATGTCAATGCTAGGCTCAATTCAGAGGCCAAATCCATCACCAGCACCTAGGGAAGGAAAGTAACAGCCAGGAATACCAGCAACTGTCCATAATAATTTATTGGTGTCCCTGCTGTGCCATGAGTCCAGCATTTCTCAAAAAACAGAAATCTGAGGCACAGGGATTAAGGCAGATGTCCCTGCTGCCTGGGCAGGGTGTTGATATGTCAATACTAATGATGGATATGTTAGCTTGATTGTGGAGTCATTTCACACAGCATAAGTTTATTAAAGCACTACACTCTATGCCCTAAACATTTAGTGTTGTCAGCTTTTTTTCAACAACTCAGGAAAATAAAATATAGGCCCCAAAACTAGAGTGCATGAAAGAAAAAAAATGAAGTTAACAGCAATAAAAATTACCCTGCTTGGGCAATGAAACAGATTCTTGTCTGTCAGCCAAGCACCAAAGGTTCACACCTGTAATCGTAACTACTCAGGAGGCTAAGATCTGAAGATCACAATTCAAAACTAGCCCAAGTAAAACAACATCTGTAAGGCTCTTGTCTCCAACTGACCACCAAAAAAACTGAAGGTGGAGATGTGGCTCAAGCAATAGAGTGCTAGCCTAGAGCAAAAAAGCTCAGGGACAACAACCAGGCTCTGTGTTCAAGACCAGGATCAACACACACACACACACACACACACACACACAGAATAGCCAGGTACCATTGGCTCACTAGCTAATCTGGAGACAGACCTAAAGGATTGAGATTCAAAGCCAGCCCAGGCAGAAAAGTCTGTGAGACTCTATCTCTGATTAACCAACAAAATGCTGGGCTGGAGCTGTAGCTCAAGTGGTAGAGTACCAGCTGAGCAAGCAGAGAAAGTGTAAGGCACTGAGTTCAAGCCACGGTACCATCACATACACACAAAAAAAGAATAGAGCCAGGTTCAATGGCTGTAATCCTAGCTACTCAGGAAGCTGAGATCTGACGATCATGGTTTGAAGCCAGCTGCGACAGGAAAGTCAGTGAGACTCTTATCTCTAATTAAACACTAAAAAGTCAGAAGTAGAGCTATAGCTCAAGTGGTAGAGCACTAGCCTAGAGCACAAAAAGCTCAGGGACAGCGCCCAGGCCCTGAGTTCAGGCCCCAGTACTGGCACAAAAAGGACGAGGAGGAGGAAGAAAAGGAGAAGGAGGAGGAGGAGGAGGCTGAATAAGTGACTCAAGTAGATTTCTTGCCTAGCAAGCATGAGGCTCTGAGTTCCAACTGTACTTCCAAAAAATAAAATAAATGAAATGAAATAATTTGTTTAAAACTCTGTGGCTTGGGGTGGGGTGCCTTCATAGTAAGCACAAGGCCTTGAGTTCAAACTCCAGATTAGAAAATGAGTAAAACCAGGCACTGGTGCCTCATGCTTGTAATCCTAGCTACACAGGAGGCTGAGATCTGAGAATCACCGTTCCAAGCCAGCAGGGCAAATAAAACTCTGAGACTTTTATCTCCAACTAACCAACAAAATGCCAGAAGTAGGGGTGTGATAGAGCACCAACCTTGACAACCTTGATCGAAAGATCCAAGCAAAAATGTGAGACTTAGCGTTCAAGCCCTAGTACCAGCATAAAAACAAAGAATAGAGATGAGGAAATTCCATTTGTTTAAAAACAACAGGGGAGGGAGGCCAGGATGGGGTAGGGAGAGATGGGCAGACTCCCTAGCCACCAGCCCCATTGTGTGTGAGGTCGGGCAGTATAGCAGGAAGTGCACAATGACTCCAGCCCCTAGATGTCCCCCACCCACCCTAAACTGGCTGTAAAAATTACAGACAGGTCCCTGTGGAAGCCCAAGTATGGCCTGAGAACAACCCTGCTCTTCCCAGACCTCCCCAGCAGCAGCGCCTTGCTCCTCCCCTGAGACTAGTAGGAATAGGCTCTGGGGACAGGCAGCAAACCATTCATCTTTAGAAAGCAAACACCCACCTGTGCCAGGCTCCAGACACAGACCTGAGGGTCTGGCCCCCATCCAGATACACACCTGCACACCCCACATCCAGAAAATATTGCTCTTAGTACAGCCAATAGTAATGTTATCTGAATATGCAGACCTGTAGTACTGTTTACACCGTAAAGATAGGGCTGATGGTAAGTCCTATTTTACAGTTGGGGAAAATGACAGAGAATAAAGCAAAACCTGCCCCCCTGACCATCAAACTACATTGTCCCACAACAGGACACCCTGCCAGGCCCTCAGGCAGGGGATAAACCTTGAGTGAGTCTGGAAGGGCAAAATGGAGTAGACCAGATAGAAACCATGTGAGCAGCAAGGAACATCATCTCCACCATCCCATGGGCTCAGCAGCCTCTGCTCTCAGGCAAATCCCAGAGATGCCAGTACCGATCTTTGGGAGCCTTGGTACATTCTTCTGCTCAGTTACCCAATGCTCAATTATATGCTAGTTGGATGAGTATGTAAACAACTAATCCCTAGTGACGTGACAAGTCCTTTACACTCAATCTCAAGCCAAATGCCTTCTGAGGATGAGGAGCAGCTCTGAAATAGAGGCTACAATGAGCTGTGGACAGGAGCAATGACACCTGGGAGGGGCCAATCTGATTATGGGGGAAGACTGTGCTTTCTCCTTCACACACCACACCACACACACACACACATACACACACACACACAGCCATGAGAGAGCCTTGCTGAGGGAAAACACATAGAATACACACATTCCCTAGAATCAGCCACATGTGAAATGTGCATACACTCCCACAGGAACAGCCACACACTGGACTATACACATATATCCACCTTATATATTCAGAAGAAGAAAAAAGTGGTTCTGGGGTCTGATCAAGAGAGCACTGGGTCCATTCTGAGACCAAGACACAAAGACATCCTCCCACAAGCCCACCCCTTTCAGCTCAAGAGGCAGAACTTGCCTGGGAAAGACCCTCAACCCAAGAGGGAGACTGAGCCCTTCCCTTCCCAGACACTAACTACAAAAGGAGCAGCCTCAGAACTTTCTCCCAGACATGAACTTGAGATCAGACACTTAGGATACTGTTAGTTTTTTTAAACAAAACAATATTTTATTGACACATCCTCAATGTTCTGTATAAATATAAAGTGCTAAGTTTCCAAACCCCCGCCTGCAGGGCTGGGAGGAAGTGGGGAGGGAGTGTTAAATGTCAGTTGAACACAAATAACTTCCAAATGACGATAGTGGTGACAGGCACTCACATATACTCATGCAAGCAAGAAATTCATAACATGACACACATATCATGTCTTTTGTTCCCAGCTCCTCCAGGAGCACCAGGCTCAGGTTCCAGGCCCAAGCCACCCCTAGCCAGGGCTTCTGGTTGCCACAACTTGCTTCTTGGGGCTTTCAAGCTGCCAAGGGTTCAATGGTGATAGGACCACAGGGAGCCCGTGGGTGTAGTCAAGTCCATTTCTGCCAGAGGAGAGAAGAGGAGAGAGCAGACATGCCTCATCCTTGTCTCCTAAATAAGGGCCTGCCCTTAAACCCCTAGCCAAAGAGCACCAGATCAGAAAGTCCAGCATCCTTCTCCAAGTGAGGGGGATGCAACGGACCAGAGAGGACCCCGCCTGTCCAGTCAGCTCCCCCTAGAAATCAGCAGGAGCCAACAGCAGGGTAGGAAGAGGGCCTCTGCCTCAGTGACACAGCACTTGGGTCTCAAACTGCAGCAGCTGACCCATGAAACTGAAGTTGGGGGAGATGACTCCCCGGCGTTGCTTCACAAAGTCAAAGGCCTCATCCAGCCGTACCCGATGGCTCTGTATCAGGTATGCTAGGCAGATGGTAGCTGAGCGTGAGATGCCCGCCTGGCAGTGCACCAGCACCCGGCCTCCACTGTTCTTCACTGAGTCTGCAAGAGAGATGAGGACAGAAGTCAGCCAGGAAGGTGTACAGGCAAGGATACAGGTCCCCCCAACCTTTCCTGAGCTCCTTCAGGCCCTGGACAGTAAGGCCCCCCTTACCAATGAAGCCAATGGCCTCCTGGAACCAGGCACTGATCTCCACCATCTGGTTATCCTCCACAGGGATGCTCTTGTAGCGGAAGAGACCCTCAAAGTGGTTGGGGCAGCTGGCAGAGACGTTGAGGACAGCTGTGATGCCACGGGCCTGCAGCCCCTGCAGGTCAGAGGAGTGGCTGCAGCTGCCCAAGAACAGGTACGGCAAGATCTCCACAGGGCCACCCTGGAGGATGAATGGGGTAGTGGTAAGACCTTCTCTGCCAACGTCTAGAGAGCTAGTGCCCTGACAGGGTGGAGATACCACCTTCTGGCCCAGAGCAGGTGAAGTTCTCGGCTAAACATCCTGACCAAGGACAGGAATTTGGGGACACACATTCAGATACATGTGCCCTTCATACCCCAAAATATATAGTCAGCCACACATGCGCGTGCGCACACCCACACGAAACCCTTAAACACATGTTCATGATGGTCTTTCTCCAGAGGCATCCATTTCGCCTGGGGAGGAGGGATGGGGGAGATGGGAAGAAGACAATCACAAGGAACCGTGATCTCAACTCACCTGGTCATAGATGGGCACCCGAGTGTCGGTGTTACTGTTTTCAGGCCCTGCAGGGGGCATCGTCTGGACAGGGCCTTCGGAGCACAGGTCAGGACAACACTCCTGGAAGCTATGGAAGCCTCCTGCAAGGGAGGGCAGAGGGGCACAGTTAAAACACCAGGGCTGGGCTGGGCTGGGCGTGGTGGTGGATCGTGGGTGCGGGACAGGCGGGCTCACCTCTCAGGAAGCACACGGTAGTGGGCCCGGCGTGGGTCTCGTGTAGCAGCGCACCCAAAAGCACCTGGGCCAGGCTGTCGGGAGACAGTTCCGCCACCGACGCGCTGCCCTCATCCAGCACCACGGCGCGCGCCAGGTCCCCGCGGGCCAGGCGCGCCCGCAGCGCGCGGTCGGGCAGCAGGCAGGCGAGGGCGGCGGCGGGCGAGGCGCGCGCGCGGCGCCGCAGCAGAGCGCTCCAGGGCACCGGGCGCGCCGCGCGCACGTGGCAGCGGCAGAAAGCCAGGAAGGGGCGGCAGTCCAGCAGCAGCGTGCGCTCGGCCTCCCGCGGCTCCCGCAGCAGCGCTCCCAGCGCGGCGCACTCCAGCTCCCGGGTCGCCTCCAGCCCCATAGCGATCGGCATCACGCAGCCTCTTCTGCCGCTCTCCCTTCCTCTTGTTCGCGTTCCCGGACTCCGGTTCGGGTCGCACCGTCCCAGCTATTGGCTCTGAGCGGCCTTGGCGGCGCTGTGGCCTTAAGTACTCGTGGGACGGCCCACCGGGTCACCAAACAAGGGCAGAGCAGGAAGGCGCCGGCGCCGCCCCCACGGCCTCACGTGGGGCGCAGGCTGAGCCACCCTGGGGTTACGGGGCAGGCTGGGAGGGGGACATCCGGGGGAGGGGGAGAGAACTCAGAGCCAGCTATTAAGGGTGTTCGTTGGGATCTTGGAGCCCAAATGTGCCCTGCCCCAGTCTTTGCACCCCAACCAGGAAGGGTGCCCCCTCCCACCCTTTGCCAGACTCCAGGCCACCAAGTACTTGGAACTCAACTTCTTTGATACATATGCCCTTCGCGGTCATGGGGGTCCTCCTGTCCTCCTTTATCCCCCAGGGGATTTCTTCCCAGAATTTGTTACAACAAAAACGGACCCCTGCTTATTGCTGAAGATGATTTTACACCAAAAGATGAGATGCCCCTACTCAGACATCACATGTGCTTCAGAGACCGTAGGCAGGAGGGACTTTCTCTCGCCTCCCTCCTTTCCGCCATCTCATGGTTGAGACCGAACTTTGGGGCTGTGCAGTCGGTAGGCTAGGCTAGAAAACAGTACCCAGAATCCAAATCCCCTGGATTTTGGCTTAAGGAGGGTTAAAAGGTATATGGGGACGCTTGGGGGAATGAGCAGGGGCCCGTGACAAATTTCCAGTTATGAATAGGGCGAAGCTTCTCTCCCCAGAGCCCAGGGAAACCCCCCGCGGCCCCGAGAGAAGGATTTCCTGATGACATGGGCCAGGGCTAAAGGGGAACTTTGATTATGCTCTAGGCCTCGCCCTCTGGGCCTCCGCTAGTGGGAATTTCTAAGGGAAGGAGAACCACTAAGAGCACTAACCTCTGTTGCTCGCCTCTTTCACTGTCTGCCTCCAGCCCCTGGGGACAGGACCCTGACTCACACTTGAGCAGTAAAAAATAAAAAGGCAATGGTGGCTGTCAGGTGTACGTAGGAGTCTGGGGCTCTGGGGTGGGAGCAAGAAATTAGTAGGTGGTGGCAGAATGTTGAAGCAGAGACATCCAGCCTACGGCAAGTCATCCTCTGGTGCCTCAGTGTCCCCATCTGTCAGATAGGACCGGCTGTGCACTCATATTAGTTTCAAGGCGACTCCATAGCTTGGATCCCTGTAGCACAAGCCCCTCCCTCCCTATCAGGCCAGTCTGGAGGCTGATGCAGCAAAGCCCACAACAGAGCCAGGGAGTCTAGGCCACAGATCCCAGAGGCTGATAGAAGCTCTTATCCTCGTATCAGCCACACAAATGAGTTAATGGATGATTCTGGGGCAAATTACAGACTGTGCAGAAGGATTGTCAGGTCCAGTCTTGCTGACCGGTGGAACCTGCGTCACCTGCCATGTTGGGAGCTGCAGTCTTACAGCTCCATAGGGAGGCAGAGGAGGCCTTACTGCAGGAAAGAAACTGGCTCAGCCAAACCCCTGACTTCCACACTGGACCAAGCCTCTGGACCTCCTAAAGGAAGTATGTCCCTTGCAAAGAAAGAAGAGAGCTGAAAGTTTGCTCCATGACCCCATCCCTGGGGTCCTGGCTAGCAAATCATCTGTGTCACTCCCTCAGTGCCATTCTGGAGCTGTCCTCTTCCCAACTCTGGGACATAGGTTCTAACTTAGTCGTGAAGGAAGGGCTCCCAGAGTTGGGAACCCCTACCCACAATACCCAGATGAAAGCCCAAGGCTGGGATAGAAGAGCCCACACTCCCCCCTCCTCACTCTTGCTCTGACCAAAGATTCCCCTAACCCTTGTATGTCATCATGGATGAGTCATGGGAAAGCATGTGTGCTGCCCTCTCAACACCGCCCCAGGACCCCCATCATGGAGCTGGTCCCTAGGAGGCAGCAGACGGGGAGGCAGAGCTGTGGATGCATGCTAGAGGACAGTGTGCGCCAGTCAGTTAGACTGGACAGCCCACAGGCTGCCTGTTCTGGAGAGAGAAACTTACTTCCCATCACTAGATAGTAAGGGGCAGCACAGAGAATTTTCTGCTTTTGTTTTGCATTTTTCCTGGCTTGGCGGTCATAGAACAGACTTAATCAAATGAGCTTAGGACTTGGCTTTATTATTTATTTTTTTGCTAGTCCTGGGGCTTGAACTCAGGGCCTGAACTCTGTCTCTGAGCCTCTCTGTGCTTAAGGCTAGCACTCTACCACTGAGCCACAGCACTACTTCTGGCTTTTTCTGTTTATGTGGTACTGAGGAATCAAACCCAGGGCTTCATGCATACTAGGCAAGCACTCTACCACTAAGCCACATTCCCAGCCCCTGGCTTGGCTTTCCCCCTCACCCCCACTTTAATTCAAAACTTGAGACTGAGCCAGGCACTGGTAGTTCATGCCTATAATCCTAGCTACTTATACTTGGGAGGCTGTCTATGGGAGGATTGTGGTTTGAGGCCAGCCTGGGCAGAAAGGTTCTCTAAACCCCTTCTCAACTTATAACTGGGTGCCATGGCATATATCTGTCAACCCAAGCTACATGGGAGGCTAAGATTGGGAGGATCATGGTTCTAGGTTAGCCCAGCAGGAAAGTAGGCAAATCACATCTCAGGTGCGCCCAGCCAAAAGTGAGACCTTATCTTTAAAAAAAAGAAAAGAAAAGAAAAGAAAAACTGAGCCGGAGGTGTGGCTCAGCAGTATTGTGCCAGCCTAACCAGAAGCAAGGTCTACAAGTTCAAACTTGAGGTACTGAATGGGGAAAAGAAAAAAAAGGTAAAACAAAACAAAAAAATTCTGAAAGCAAATTCTCAGAAAACTAATGCAGGAGGATCTGGAGTTTTAGGCCAGGCTGGGCTAATATAGCCAGACTCTGTCTTAAAAAAAAAAACAACAACAACAAAAAAAAAAACCCTGTGAGTCTCAACTGGAACAAATGATGATTCTCTGTGTTATTCTTTTCTGTAACCATCTATTTGGATGGCTGCTTAAGCGTCACTTGTCTCCAGCCTTTGGGATTCCGGTTCATCCACCTAGCCCCCATGCAAAGTGAGTTTTCCTTCTACAATTAAATGCCCAGGCTGGTGGTGCATTGCATTTTCTTTCCTTCTTCTTCCAAAGCAGATGCCCCCTGGGGAGGGAGGGAGGGAGGCTGAGGTGGGCCTGAGCAGTTAGACGAGAGTGATTGACAGTAAAGAGCCAGCCCCAGCTCTACCTGAGGAGCAAGTCAGTATGATGGCAGGTGTCTTGTGCCAGACTTCTGACCAGGTGCTGCATGGTAGCCACCCTCATAGGCTTCTACCAGGTAAGGACCCACTGCCATGAGAGCCTATCCAACACAGCCGAGGGGGCACAGAGAGGGTCACCTTAGGCATCTAGCCTTCTCCTGGGGAAGGTGAAACAGGAAGCTCAAAGACTGATTCAGGAGTGAACCAGTGGCTCATGCCCGGAATCCTAGCTATTCAGAAAGCTGAGATCTGTGGATCAAAGCTTGAAGCCAGGCCTTGAAGGAAACTCTGTGAAACTATTACGGCCAATTAGCCACCAAAAATCCATATGTGGAGCTATAGCTCAAGTGGTAGAGTGCCAGCCTTGAGCAAAACAGCTCAGGAGCAGTGGCCAGGCCTTGAGTTTGAGCCACAGTACTGACCCCTCCCCGCCAAAAAAAAGCCAACCAGCATGTGGGTGAAGGGGCTAGCTTCATTTCCACACACATATACATGCATGTATAAGAGAAAAAGAGAGACAGATAGAGACAGAGAACAGGAATCAAGTACCCTTGGACACAGCGGGGCCTCTTCTAGGGGACCTGCTCCTCATATTACAAGTGAGCAGCACATGTGAATCCTGGTCCTGACACTCACACTTTGTGCCACCTGAACTTTGGGCCTCTTCATACACAATGCCCAGCAGGAAGCTAGGTAAGGCTTTGCAGCCCAAGGCTGCAACATCCAAACAAGACCTGAATCACCTGGTAAGGAAGTTCAGCCCTTCTCAAATGCTTTTGTCAGTGCTTCTAAATACATCAAGAGGAAAGTTTCTCTAACATTGCCTTTTCCTTTTTTCATCTTGACAGAAGCTCAGCCCCTTCTCCAAACATCCATAACCAGGCTCTTCATTCCCTCTGCACTTAATCACAGACTCTGCCTCTCCCTCATAAAATGTACCCCACATACTCATTCTATCCAGATACAGTGCTGGGAGCTGAGGATAGAGCAGTCCACTCCCAGCCCCTATGTCTGGAAGCTGACTTCACTATTTCAGTAATATTCACCTTCATGATCATGTTGTATTCATGACCAGTGATACTAGTTATCCACTTACAGTAATGATTATCTTTTCCTTTTAAATAAATTTAGGTTTATTAAAACTGAGTTGACATAAGGAAGGCTATTAGGTAAGTAATGATGCTTAAACACCTCAAGTTAGGATATCCTGGCGCTGGTGGCTCACACCTGTAATCATAGTTACTCAGGAGGCTGAAAACTGAGGATTGCAGTTTGAAGCCAGACTAGGTAGGAAAGGCTGTGAAACTCTTATTTCCAATGAACCACCAGAAAACTGGAGGTTGAGTTGTGGCCTAAAATGGTAGAGTACTAGTCTTGAACACAAAAGCCAAGGGACAGTACACAGGCCTTGAGTACAAGCCCCACAACTGTCTGAAAAAAAAAGTCAGGATGACCTTTAGAATTGATAGATGGTGGAGGTAAAGTTAGAACTGACAATTTTCAACCCTTTCCATCCTCTCCTTAGAATCCAGGGCCTCATTCCTGCATCCAGGATCAGTCCAGCTGCGTCCCACCTTGCCCATAGAACTCCACTTGCTTAACCAAACTCCGCCCCTTATCTTGGGGGACCTAGCTGTCACCTCACCACAGCTCCAAGCTCCTCCCCTCAAGGACTCTGGCATTTGTAGGGAAACACAGTACCCAGCTCTGGGAGTGGGGGGGGGAGCGGATGTGGAGGTTGATACAAGTCTGTGTCCTGTTGAGCCCA